AATATTAAGACAGTAACACTAAACTTGCTGGAAGATAGGTAGAACTCTTGAAGATATTGGCATAGGAAAAGACTTTATGAACAAAACCTAGGTAGCATGGGAACTAGCACAAAGAATCAACAACTGGGATCTCATCTTATTAAAAAGCTTCTGAACTGCAAGAGAAAGCAACAACAGAACTAAAAGACAACCTATAATGTGGGAAAAATTTTTTAGCAGATGTACCTTAGATAAAGGACTACTATCTGGAATATATAAAGAACTGAAAAAAATCAGACCTCTCAAATTCAAAAATGGGCATCTGAAATGAACAGATATTTCTCAGACAAAGAAGTAAAAGCACCAAATAAGCATATGAAAAAATGTTCAACATCACTGATCATTCAGGAGATGCAGATGAAAACAACACTGAGACTCCATCTCACCCCAGAAAGAATGGCTGCTATCAAGAAATCACCCAATAACAAATGCTGGCAGGGGTGTGAGGAGGAAGGAACCCTTCTCCATCATTGGTGGGAGTGCAGACTGGTGCAACCACTGTGGAAATCAGTATGGAGATACATCAAAGAACTAGTACTAGAGGACCCATTTGACCCAGCTATTCCCCTGCTGGGTATCTTCCCAAAAGCATTAAAAAAATCATACCACAGCGATATATGTGCACCCATGTTTATAGTGGCACAGTTTGTAATAGCTAAAGCTTGGAAGCAACCCAAGTCCCTTTCAACTGGAAACTGGATAAAGAAGATGTATTTTTTTTTAAATGGAGTACTACTCACCTATAAAGAATGAGAATCTAGAGACATTTATAGCTAAATGGATGCATATTGAGGCCATCCTCTTAAGTGAAATAAATAGGACACACGTGTAAATACTGAATAGTTTCTCTAGTGTGAGAAACTGAAAATAAGGGTTAAAATGATTAAAATGAATAACTGATAATTCGAAATAGGAAGAAAAAGTCCAAAGGGGCAGGGGTGGTGGGAGGGGAAGGGGGAAGGAAAGAAGTGAAAGGAAAAATTATGAGAAAAGAAAAAAAAATGGAAATGAAGTCTACGTAAATTTGGAAGGGTGGTGGGGGTGAAGGGTGCACAGGTAATGGGGAAAAAATAAGAACCAAGATACATCATGTACAGGTACTAGCACCCAATGATAAATGTAAATGTATTGTATACCTAAAATGTACAAATAAAAGAATTTAAGAAAAAAAAAGATTTCTGGAGATCCTTGAAATTGTGCTAAAGGAAGGTGAAAGGAATGGGAATAGCAAGCTGGTATCTTGGTTATGGAACTGCCTGAAGGGATTGGCAAAGGCCTCTGAAGAATTAGAGGACAGCCTTCCAGGAGCATGTGCTAGCTGTTGAAGGTTCTAGTTCCTAACTGATCCCGTGGCAACTTCTTCCTTTTGAAATCATCAGTTTTGATGATTATATCTTTTCTTTTCTAAAGCAAAATCCTTTTTTCCCTTTCTTAATGCTTTTCAATATCAGATGAACTATATCACTTCTCTGTCTCTGTCTGTCTCTCTTTCTCTCTCTCTCTCTCTCTCTCTCTCTCACACACACACACACACGCATACACACACGCATACACACTACCAGATCTTTTCTCTGTCAATTTTTAAATAATTTCACATATTCATATACCCCATACCTGATGCTTCTCCAGCTCTGGCTGTATTCAGGACTATAAACTTTATTCTGTGAATGTTGAAAACTCAGATAATTGAAATTCTGTGGTTCTGCTATGGACTCTAGATCTACCTCTGTGGTAAACTGGCCTATGCCAACTTTAACTTCACAGACAACACTAAGAGGTTTTTATTGGGAGAAAATACTACTAGACTATATAATAGGTTAGTCTTTGAAAAACCTTAGCTGCATTTATGTAAATTTAGTAACTAACCCCTTTACTATCTTGTATATTTGTCTGATAAAATCAGTTTCTATCATGTGTTCTTTGGGTCCAGGTACCCTAGAGCTCCATCCACAATGCTGTGTTTTTACCACGCTGGAGAGAGTTCCTGAAATTCACAATTCAAAAGGCAGGATTCTGCTCTCCTTGTAGCATGCAATAAACCTCAGATTTTTCAGGATTTTCAACAATAAACACACCCATTCAATAGCATTAGGTCACTCCAAGTACATTTTTATCCCTTGTAAATGCATTTATATTGACTATCTACAATTTAACTAATGGAAGCCCATTTTAATAGTCTATATCCAATATCAACTTGACATGGTTCTTACCACTTATAACATTTCTTCATCTATCTCATCAGATGTCATTTGTTGATAGAGTTGTGGATGAAGGAGCTATCTGAAATTCCTGCCTCTGGTGTTATAGCATGCTGTTTAGAACACTCTGACCATACTTGGAACCTCATTCATAGTGGAAAGCTTACAGAACCTAGCTATGAAGACAAAACCCAAACATAACACTATTTAGCCATAAAGTTGGAAAAAAATCAAGTTACATTGTAACATCTTCACTCTGACTGGGTAGGCAATATATATCACATGATACTTGAGTTTTAGAATTCACTAATGCTGGACTGGAATTCTGACTTTTATATTCGCTATGTGTGTGAACCTGGAAAAATGTTTAGTCTATGAACTTCAGTTTTCTCATATGTGAAATAGGAATAGCAAAAGCATCCTGATGTGATGTTACAAGAAATAATGAGATTTAAAAGAAAATTTGGTGCTGAGGACCGAACCCAAGGCCTCCTGCTTGGTAGACAAGAGTTCTACCACTGTGCTAAATCCCTAGCCCCTTTTTCTTTTTTTTAATATAATGTGAAATAGGAAGAAAAAGTTCAAATGGAAGAGGATACTAGGGAGAGGGGAGGAGGAAAAGAAGAAAGAGAAAAGGGAAAAAAACAAGAAAAGAAAAATACAATTGAAACAAAGCTTTTGTAAATGAGGGAAGAGGGGTGGAAGCAGGGGAGGGGAATCACTACCTCAGCCTTTTCATGAATTATGGCTGTATATGTTTGTTGTCTGCTTCACAGGAGATATAGAAACATAAACCAAAGATAACATCACTCTGATTCTGGGTTAGACTCCAGAAACTAAAAGAATGCATAGTATAGAGGGCATAATTGGGCCTTATGATGTAGAAGACCAAGGCTTTCTTCCTCACGTAGTAAGGTACAGATTGATCAGGGACATTATTTTTGCAGGACTCTTACGGAAGAGGCTGGATTCCAAAGGAGAAATGGTGTGTTCAGGTGTGAGGGATCAAAGAAGAAGAAGAAGTGTCATCCTTGGATCCTGTGATCCAGCATGTCCGGGAAGAGCAGAATGGTTTCTGTCTAGCAAAAATGATTTCATCACATATTTAAACAGATAGGATTTTAGAAAGTGCCCCTTCCAAGCCTGTATACAAAGAAAATATAGAGTTGTCTTGGGATGGCCGTATGTCATTGTAGTAGCAGAGAGATAGTGGGCCTGAAGTTTCAACAGCTCCATGGCCACCTGGGCCAAGAAATGAACAGAAATAGATTGCTAGCTCTGTCCCATAAAGGCTTCGCAAGGAATTATGAGTTAATGGATCTGATGAAAACAACAACAATAAATCATAATTTGTGAAACTATGTATATAGAAAGTCTCTTCCATTATTGTGTGAAATGGTGATTAAAGCTGTACTTTGAGTTACAGGGTAGCTTGAGGCTTGGATGAAAAACTGTATTAGAGAATATTGGTATCAATTTTTCTTTGCCTATTCCTCAAATTGTCTACCTATTCATATCAGAAACCAGCATTTTAGTTTTGGGTACAAATAACAACATGGGTCATATCTGGGTAGAAGAAATGGCAGATTAGGATAAGAATTGAAACCTGTCTATGCATTCATTTCCTCTCCTTTCTCCTTCTTTTCAGGGTAGATTTCCAACAATGAAGGGCATATGTCACACATGTGACTGAGAAATCTGACTTAGAAATAGCAGGGAATGCTGGAAAAAAAACCTGCATACGGTCAGTGAGCAAAGAAAGGAAAAAGGGCAGAACAAAACTGGAATGTGGAAAAGTGAACACACTCATGTTCATTTCTCCTCATCTACTCACTTTCTCCCTCTCTTCCTACTCAACATAAGGCAGTAACCCTTTTGAAATCAGAAGTAATTTTATAAACATATACTTTGTAATTTGAAGTGTTAAAATCTACCAATGTCTCAAAATATATACCTGATGAATTATTATATTAAATAAAATAAATGCATTGTATAGAATTTGGGTTAGATGATCAGCTCTTTCAAGTTTATGATGATCCTTGATATTATGCTAAACAGGAAAAGAGAAAGGGAGCAGGAAGCTAATACCTGGGTGGAGGAGCTCCTGGAAGAGATGGGTGGAGGCTTGTGTGGCGTCTGCAGACCTGTGCTGGCAGCAGAAGTTTCTGGAAGCAGGCCCATTTTCTGGTCTACCATGTTTTTTTGCAAGTCATCCATTTTCTTGGTTGACTTTTTCTTTTTCTGAAGAAAAACAGATTTTCCACCTTATTGCTGGATAACAATTTCCAATTTTAGTATATGTGCTGCTGAAGCGAGCACTGGATAATGATTTTAATAATCACACACAGAACATCTTTTCTTTCTTTTCATATAGAATCTTTACTTTCTGATTTTTTTCTGGAATACTAGGATATGTTCTTATACCCTTACCACCTACCCTCCTCCCAAACCATCCAGGATTACAAACTTCACTCTCCAAATATTAAAAGCTCACATTAAGTTTCACTGGCTTGGGATAGAAGCAATCTGGGTTCTGTATTTGGTGCACATTGACTTAAGACAATTGATCAAATACAAATTTTATGGTGAACTAATCCTTTCAGGCTATCTCACAAGGAAATCTCACAAAATATCAGTTATAGTTATGAACTTATTTTTTTTTTTTGCTTAAATTCTTTTATTGGTACATTTCAGGTATACAATACGTTCACATTTATCATTGGGTGCTTGTACCTGTACATAATGTATATTGGTTCTTATTTTTTTCCCATTCCCTGTGCTCCCTCCCCCTCCCTATTTACAAACACTTTGTTTCCATTTTTTCCTTTTCTCATAATTTTTCCTTTCCCTTCTTTCCTTTCCCCTTCCCCTCCCACTTCCCCTACCCCTTTGGACCTTTTCTTCCTATTTCAAATTATCAATTATTCATTTTAATCATGTTAATCCTTATTTACACTTTCAGTTTATCACACTAGAGAAACTACTTGGTATTTACACATGTGTGTCCTATTTATTTCACTTAAGAGGATCACCTCAATGGGCATCCATTTAGCTATAAATGTCTCTAGTTTCTCGTTCTTTATGGCTGAGTAGCACTCCATTTTATAAAAAACCCCACATCTTCTTTATCCAGTTTCCAGTTGATGGGGACTTGGGCTGTTTTCAAGCTTTAGCTATTACAAACTGTGCCACTATAAACATGGGTGCACATATATTGCTGTGGTATGATTCTTTTAATTCTTTTGGGAAGATACCCAGCAGGGGAATAGCTGGATCAAATGGGACCTCTAGTCCTAGTTCTTTGAGATATCTCCATACTGATTTCCACAGTGGTTGCACCAGTCTGCACTCCCACCAATGGAGAAGGGTTCCTTCCTCCTCACACCCCTGCCAGCATTTATTGGTTGATTTCTTGATAGCAGCCGTTCTTTCTGGGGTGAGGTGGAATCTCAGTGTTGTTTTCATCTGCATCTCCTGAATGACCAGTGATGTTGAACATTTTTTCATATGCTTATTTGGTGCTTTTACTTCTTTGTCTGAGAAATATCTGTTCATTTCAGATGCCCATTTTTGAATTGGGTCTTTGAATTTTAGGGGTCTGATTTTTTTTCAATTCTTTATATATTCTAGATAGTAGTCCTTTGTCTGAGGTACAGCTGCTAAAAATTTTTTTCCCACATTGTACGTTGTCTCTTAGCTCTGTTGGTGGTTTCTCTTGCAGTGCAGAAGCTTTTTAATAATATGAGAACCCAGTTGTTGATTCTTTGGGCTAGTTTCCGTGTTACTGTGGTTTTTGAACTTATTTTTTTTTATTTATAAGATATTTATTGGTACATTTTAGGTATACAACACATTTACATTTATCATTGGGTGCTTGTACCTGAACATGATGTATCTTGGTTCTTATTTTTTCCTCATTACCTGTGCGCACAGGGGGTGAACTTATTTTTTAAAGTAACACTTTCTCATCAAGAAAACTGGTTCATGATACCTATTCTTCAAAATCCAAAACAAACAAATGACACTCAATTTCCTCAATTTTTTGGTAGATTATTGGAGGATATATGGATCCTTGGGACTAACAACAATAATAACAATAATAGGAAAACAAAACCAAAAAATGAGTCTTTTTCTATAGGAAGTGAGCACGTGTGAGCTGGTAGTGAGCATGTAGCTTGGGTCAAAGCAAAGCTTGATTTTTGAGTTAGAAACTACATTCAAGAGTGTCAATTTAGCTTCTGCTCTGAACTTCTTTTCCGGCGGTCTTGTGCTCATTCATCCTAGATGTAGCTTCCATATTCCCGGGTTGCAAGTATTCATAGCAATCACATTAGGGTAGAACAAAAAGGACTTAACAAAAAGCAGATTTTGATAGGGGTTGATGGATACATATGTGAATTCCTTTTTCTACCTTTGTTTTCTCTTCCCTTGGGACAGCATACCTATAATCTGTCATGTTTTCTTTTTCTAAAAGAACTTTTTTCTTTTTTCTCTTGATATTTCATTTTATTTTTTGGTGCTAGGGACTGAACGAAAGGCCTCATGTACACTAAGCACATATACACATTTTTCCCCACTAGCCAACACTCCCAGCCCTTGGTAATTCTTTTCTTTTTCAGTATTTGGGATCAAATCCTTGGTGCCTCATGTTTACAAACCACACACTCTACCACTGAGCTATATCCCCAGCCCCAGAATGATTTTTTGTTTTGTTTTGTTTTTGTTTTTTGGTACCGGGGAGCGAACTCAGGTCCTTGAGCTTGCGCAGCAGGCGGCAAAACCACTCATCTAAATCCCCGGTCCAAAATAGTCTTATTAATTTTTTTTTTTTTTTGGTACCAGGGATCGAACTCTGGTCCTCGCGCTTTTGAGGCAGGCGGCAGAACCCCAGAATGATTTTTAATGTTAGATAAAGCACACTATCTTTAATATTGAGAAAATCCACTCTTTATTAGTGGATTCTAATTATACTAAAAATTACACTCTAGGAAACACCAGGGAGTCACAGTCCATCTTCTGAAGAGATGGTCAGAGGCAGGCATATACAGTTGTTGTTTCATACAGAGTAGAAGTACTTTATGTATGTCATGTCTTTACCCCTCTCTGTGATGATGGAAGAACAGGAGATTTGTGTTCAGAAAGTCCATGTTTGCATTTAGTCTCTTTTAATAGGCTTTGTTGAGCCATTTCCCTAAGCTGACTATTTCATTACATAATTAAACAAGGCATAATGTATTCATATTTCTATCATAGGGAATTATACTACACAAGTTAAAGAGCATTGCGGTCCCGAAACCAAATAAACAAACAACAACTGTGGATTTTCTGACTCTGAACCTCATTTTCACTAAATAAGTAAGTGTTCATCAAAAGGTAAGATGTGAGAGAGCCATCAAAGCTGCTTTCCCATGGGGGCTTAGCCATCCTACCTTTGACAAAGGCACATCCTTTGATTCTGGTTTCACAGATTCTTCTTCTGTGTTAAGCAAAGATTGAGTACTACTGGATTCATCCTGCTTGCTTCTTTTCACTGCATGTTTTTCTTTTCCTTTGCATTTCATTTTAAGTAATACTGTAAAAGAAAATACAATAAACTGAGGGGAGGTGGTCTAAAATAGCCAATACTATTTCCTCCCAGTTTCTGTTTGTGTCTAGGTCAGCTCCTCTATTGCATTCAGCCCAGGATGAACATGAGGTGGCCGACAGTGGTAATCTAGGCACAAGCACTGTCTCAGTGCTTTCCTTCTTTTCCCAGGTACAATTGGCACAGCTTTCCTACCCTGTGGATTTCATGTACCTTACCCTATATACTCTTTTGAAGACTCTAAAGTTTTCATGATGCTAATAACAGGTCATCTTCTGTAGAAGACCTTATCAAGTTTGAGGAACCAATTAAGAAATTATGATCTCATTTGTGCTGTGACAAAGTGATGATACTAGGCTTAAATATCTTGTATATATTTTTAAGCCCAGTGATTGTATAAGAGGAAATTTCTTCACATCTCTGAGACACAAGCTTTTATTTAAATACTGCCTCATATCTGTTGCCAGAGAAGATATTACAATGTATACATTTTTCTTAACTTTATTTTTTATTTTCTATTTTTTTCAATGTATCAGAAGCATTAGAATTGTTGAGAATTCATTCTGCTTTTTTATTCCCATATCTCTTGTGGCCTCCCCAAAATCCTCTTCCTTAAATATATTAGTAGGAGAGGTATTCTCTACGTTGTCAGGTTGTTGGCATCTGAGTTACCACCATTGCTATGGATACTGGGGAATATGCCAGGGAATTGATGCCCATGACTAAGATGAGGTTCCAGTCAATATTGAGGAGGGTGCAACCTATTACCTTTTGCCTTCTCTTTTTCGAGAGTATCGACAATGCTTTGTAGATCGGACATCTTTTTAAAGAGTGATATCAGTTTTCCCAGTCCTGCATCATTTCGGAACTTTTTCTCCATCAGTTCAGCAAATTCAATTTTGTCACAATCTTCTTGCATCTTTTTAGTCAGTTTTAACTCACTGGACAGCAAAGACTTTACCATTTTAAAATGATAGTCACTGACAGGATGTAAGCCGTGCAGAAGAACAATATTCTTGAATTTATTTGCCATCTCTCAAATGATCGGTGAACCTACAAAAGAAAACTGGCATACAATATTCTGTTATACACATATACAGAGAATTTCAAAAATAGGGTATGCCTATGTATATGACTTATATCAGAGTGTGGTCCACAAGTCACAAGTGTGTGTGTAACAGAGACACTTAATTACCAGATGTTTCACTATAGAAAATGGATACAAAACTCCTGTTACACATTTCTAAGAAGTTCCTTGTGTCAGAGGTGGATGTGGTGGAAGAAAATCAGGAGATAGGCAGTTCTTATGGTGATTAGAGTATAGACTATGCAATGTCAAAGTCCCGAGCTCCTCTTTCTATTCTCTATTGGTTGGAGCCTATCCTTGGATGTCTGCCTATTGGCTCCTGACTCTTCCCACAACCATGCTCCTTGTCCACTTGGCTCTTTATTAATTACTCTCATTAGCACTGTATCTCCTATGGTGGTGGACCATGTTCTCTGTGTCCTCTCTACCCATCCCCTGTCACTGTCACCTGCTGGATGTCCACATGCTTTCCAGTGCAGAATCAAGTACTTATTGGCTGGAATTATTTTAACAGTTGCTTGATTTGTTTCCTTAATGAGTTTTTTCAATACAGCCAGTTTTCTATCTGGAAGCCATGGTTCAATCCTGCTGAAATTCTTTAATAATTCTCCAATTTCTTAGAAAAACAAAAGCAACAACAAAAATTTCCTTATTCCTTAAAATATCTTAGCAGGCCTGCTTAAATTTTTTGCATCTTTTTACCTCCTTACTTTTTGTATTCCTTACATCACATTCTTTTAATTTTTTTTTTTTTTTTGGTACCGGGGATTGAACTTGGGTCCTCGCACTTGCGCAGCAGGTGGCGAAACCACTGAGCTAAATCCCCAGCAACGGGTTTTTTTGGGGGGTGCTTTTGGTCTTTTTTTTTTGTTTTGCTTTTTTTTTTTGGTACCAGGGATCGAACTCTGATCCTTGAGCTTATGCAGCAGGCAGCGAAACCACTGAGCTAAATCCCCAGCCCCTTGGTCTTTTTTTTTACTTTTCTTTTTTGGTACTGGGAATTGAACCCAGGGCCTCATGCTTGCCGGGCAGGTGCTGTGCGGCTGAGCTACATCCCCGGCCCTTACATCACATTCTTTAGAAATATACAACACTCTTTGCTTTGTCATATTTTACGTCTTTGCTAATTCCCTTTACTTTTCCTGGGAAATCATTCTCACATTTCTTGCTCTTATTACCTCCCATTACAACCTTTAAGACTCAACTGAGGTTTTGTCATCTTGAAGCTTCCAAAGTTCCCAAGTGGCCTGAGTGTTGTACCGCCAGACCTCTCCAGCAGGTGTGCACTTCTTTAATGACATTTGGTGTATGGTATGGATTCTAATTTTTTGCTTAAATATATGAGTGCTTTTAGTTTAGGAATCATGTGTTTGTGTATGTTTTGTGTAATTGAAATGTTCACATTTCTGAGGCTGTTAATTGCTTACTTCTTAAGGGAACAAACAAAACCTCAGATTGAAAGGCTCACTGAATGGAGGGAAAATCCACATTAAGACACACTGTAGTGTGTGAAATTAAAGAGTATTAAATGCAAAACAAATACTCTATACACCACCAGAAATAAAGAATAGATCATCTACAAAGATTCAAGAATAAACTGATTTCTCAACCGCAAAACATTGCAACTAGAGGAATAATTTTTATATAATACCGGGCCAAATCCCATATCTATTGCAAAACTAAAATGTTTTAAAAATAGAAAGATTTGATTGGTGACTTTGGCAACACAATTTAGTTGTGAAATATAACCAGATGTAAGATGACAGAAGGCTATGCATAATCTTTGTTCATTCCATTTAAATGAGAACATTCATATATGTTGTTGTTGAAGCATTATTGCTTTTGATTTTGGCATAATGATCCAGATCTCAATGGAATTTCTAGTAGTACAGTGTTTAGAATATATGCAATATAGTCTTCTGCAGCATGCAAATTCTGAATTTCAAAATAAATCTAGGCCAGGGCCAGGGATTTAGCTCAGTGGTGCCACTGCCTGCCTTGCAAGCACAAGGTCCTGAGTTTGATTCCCAGTACAAAAAAAAAATAAAAATATGCATATATATATATACACATATATATATATATACACATACATATCATATATATATGTGTATATATATATATGGAGAGAGAGAGAGAGCTGCATGTACAGAAGAAGTACTCTCAATCTGTCTTGGGTGAAAAAAATTTGGAATGAAAATTTAGAACTACAAAAAATAATATTTAAACAGAAAGCATAAAAAACTATTTTCTGATACTAAAGGCCTTAACAGTTTTGAAAGGGAAAGACATACACAGAAACATTGATTGGAAGCAATAGCCAACAAGAAAATAATCAGCAAAGAATCCTGCAGGCCAAAATTAAGTAAAATGAAAACAGACTCGACTAGAGATGCCTGTGTCTTAAAAACAGGGCCCCGATGAAAGAGAAGAAAAACAGGAAATATAAATATGGGAAGAAGGAAGTAGAAAGACAGAAAGCTTCATCAATGTATTTGTTTTAAAGTATAAGAAACAGGTATAAGTTTAAAAAAGAAAGACAAGGAGAATATAGAAGTGTCATAACTTAAAGGGAAGACAGTAAAAACAAGTCAAAGTATGTAATTATAACATATACCTAAAGGGTCTAGCCAAGTACACAACAAATTATCAAATTTGACTTAAGACATCTATTTGTATGTTGTTAATAAAACTTTAAGTGAGGAAAAATGAAAAACAAATTATTATGCAAAGAATAACTAAGAGAGCCAGTTTATATTAATGTAGCTTTAAAGATAAAAAGTACTAAGATAAGATGAAAAGTATTATCAGATACCACATAATGACAAAAAGTTCAACTCCTAAGAAGATACATCAGCCTTACTTATGTATTTTTCTAATAATAATATTCTATTTGGTATTACTTTATGGTCCTTCATGGTATTATAAATAGTAGTATGGAATATATTTCTCTCTATACATCTGCACACATACAATACCCCCACCATATATAGAATATATCGTATAGTGCACATCAGCGCATGCACATATGTAAATGTGAAAGAACTACAAGAAAAGAATCACAATTTTATGGTAGGTATTGCAATATCTTTGTCAATTACTAAATGAACAAGGTCAAAAATCACAGTAAAGATTTAGAAGATGTAATATAATTGATAAACTTAAGATTTATCATACAGGTAAAAATTCTGAAATCAACATTTAAAATTTGACATTCTATTTAAATACTCATGAAATATTATAATAAGGTCTAGAGAAAGTCTTAAAAATTCTCAAAGTAGATAATAGAAATGTTTCTAATTGACTTCCCCACCTCTCAGTTACTTCCTGCCACCTAAGGGGAAAAAATAATGAACTAAAAATTGCTAAACCTATCCCAACTGAAATATTGCCCTTATTACCTGATGTAGAATTAAGTTAAATAAAAAGTTAAATATACTTATGAAAATATTATGACAAGTATTTAAATAACTGAATCTGAGAAATTTTCTACTATGTGTGTCCGTTCTCATGTTTTCTAAAATGGGCATAGTAGTATATAATAAAGCTTTATATCCAGATGTGCTTTTTATTTAATGTTATTATTTCATGATGCTTTTCATATCACTGCCATGTTACTATACTATTTCCTATAAAATTACTGTATTATAATTCCTCTAAATTCCCCAGCCAAGAAAACCAAAGTTCTCTTCCAAATATCAACTTAAGCCAACTCACACTTGGATCATTTATTTCATAATCTGGAACAGTCAAAATTTATTGCTCAGGCCTCAGTCGCTGAGGAACAAAGATATCTATTATTTTCCTAAGTGAACAATCAGAATCAAGCTATTGCAGCTGTTCCAAAATGCAGCTTATACTACTCTACTCCCCTCACCCACAAACCAGAAGAACCAACACCGATTTCCTTGGGTTATCTTGTGGATTTCTAGGAGAAATCTGGATATTCTCTACAAAACTACCGACGTGATTTACCTTCTTGGAAATTTCTTCAGCGGGAGATCCGGAACTGAGATTTTTAGCAACGCAGGAAGTGCTTGTTATGCTTGAATAAGAAGGTAAATCAGTAAAGGTCTCGGAAACTGAACAGAAAGATCTTGTAATTTTCTGAAATGCTAAGAAAATAAAGTATTTCTAAAGATAACAAGGAAAAATGATACCGGTAAGAATAATCCAATAATTTCAGGAGTGCTGAGCGGCTCACACTGAGGAAGCCCAGGGAAGGAGCGTGAGGCTCCTCCCATCCATCCCCTCAACTTTCGACTTCCTCTACAAGAGAAGCTGCAGTTTCTTTTCTGTAACATCTCAGTTATGAAGAAAAGTTAGAACTCAGTTATACTTAAATATTTTCATGCAAATCTGAAAAGATAAAAGAGGTTCCAACATTAGAATTTTCACATCCAACAGCCTCACACACAGGTTATCAGAAACCTGTATTCCTTTGAATGAAAGTAAAATACTAAAGGGGGGAGGTACTTTCCAGGGTCGGCTCCTTTCCGCTTTGCTCACAGAGTGGGAGTGGCAGGAGGATTTCTGTTGTTAACATTGCTAATGGATTTCCTGTATAGGGGTCTGCTAGGAAATCCCTAATTGTTAAGTACTAAGTGACTTATTCATGCTGTTAATAATATTGCACCATCACGAGACTTGCCAGAGCATGCCGTTACAAATATGTAGCTTTATCAATTATGTACAAACAAATCTGGCTCTAGCTATCCCCTGGACTATTATTAGGCTGAATCATTTCAATGATTAAGTTCGTGATTCCTCAGTCTCTTCTATTATTTGTGGAGAAACACAGCATATCGTGATAGCTTTGAAAAATCTGGAAGAGTATTAAACTTCTGGTGGGATCAGCGACCTCATATAACCTCTGTTCTGCAATATTTTTCTGTGGATCGTAGAGGCTTTCTGGAGTACTGCAACTCCCATATGTCAGCAAATAGAGCAAGCTGGCGGGTGGTGGGGTGGAAGCCCATCAACCGATCTGCAAACAGTAAGAAGTCATGCCTGAAAACAGGGTCCCCAAGCATAGGGAGTGCAGACAAATGAACTGAGGCCATCTGTGGGACAGAAGAAGTACCTTAATACAAGATAGTCCTATATAGGGGAAGGTTGAAATCTGAATCTGAAACCATCTAAAAATACATTAAAGAAAAATCAAGGAGAATCTGGATAGTTTCAAACACCTGTGGGTGTTTTTGTTTTGTTTTGTTTTGTTTCCTTTGGATGGATTTAGGTTGCTGTTTATGTAGATATGTTGAGCTGGTCTTAAGGTAATGGATAGAGACATTAGGGTGGTAAGAAGGAGGTCAGAGTCCCAAACAAGAGCTCAGAGAATAGAGGGTGTATAGCAGGAATGACCATGATTGAAGACATTTTCATTGGCCTTAATCATTTCATGTGATTAACTAATAGTTGTGCTACATAATAAATCTTTCTTCTTTCCGTTGGAGTTCCAACACACAACACACAAATTATTGTTTCCCATTAGACAATTAAGAAAAATGTTCCATAATCCATTTTGTGCAGATTTTAATAGATGAAGCAAAGGAAAGCCAAAAACCATACCATATTCTTGACTATTAGGGAATGCCTAAACAGGTAGGAATCTGTCTCATCACACAGAAAGCTCAGATCAAAGCAAGAGGCAGACCACTTCAGGTTGGCAAATAGTCAAAGATTTAGTTAGGGGAAACTTATGCACAGGCAGTCTTGGGTGGCAGGGAGGGGAAGTAGGTCACAGAGCTTGCAATGCATGCCTGTCTACTTTTGGACCCTATGAGAAAACAGAGAAAGCTATTCCATTCATTTCATCTGAATAGCATGACACAAGGGTGAATTAAGTTCCTAATTCATTCCAGCCACTGTTATCTGATCTTCACTGTGATAGACAAGGCTTACTTTCCTACTGTCTTAGTCCATTTTGTGTTACTATAACAGAATATCACAAACTGGATAATTTATAACGAACAGAAATTTATTTCTCACAATTCTTGAAGCTGGTAAGTCTGAGAATGAGGTGCTAGCATTTGGTGGGAACTTCTTGCTTCATTCTCATTTGGGAGAGAGCAAAAAAGAGCAAGTTCACTCCCACAAGCCTTCTTTATGTGCCATTAATTCATTTATGAGGGTAGAGCCCTCGTGATCTAAACATGCCCCATTAGGCTCCACCTCCCTATATCGTTGCTTTTCGAAATTAAGGTTTAATATGAGCTTCAGAGGGGACAAACTCATTCAACCATAGCATGTATTTATCTCTGTCTTTATCTTTGCTATTTTCATTATTTATTTGCTGATTTCATCTAAGATAGGTCATTTCCCAGGAAGCCTTTACTGAGGATCCTCACTAGATTCATAATCCCTTTATTTCAAGACTCCCTCTTTTTTGCTCTTAATATTTCCTTAGAATCGAAGATGAGATTTCTTTCTCTTCCAAATATAAGTGAACTCCTCACTCTAAACATTTTACTTTGAGGCTTCTTCAAATAACTTAAAATTTATAATTTATTCAAATTTACTCAGCAAAAAGGGAAAAAGGAATTGGAATTTAGCTTTCTTAATATTTTTTGCCCAATTTTGGATGTTGGAATGTTGAGAAGAGAAATACAACTGAAAGTGATGGAGAAGTAGTATTTGAATTGTATTTTCTAAGTTTTAGATTAGGGGCTTGAAAATCTTTGGTCCAAGGGAAAGGACTCATACCCACACAAATAAATGTTCCTGTATTCTGTTTAAAATATCAGATCATGAATGTCAGAAAGAAAAAAAAAAGAATAATTATGGGCATGTAAAATAGTCTAAAGTTAGTGAAGCAAATAATACTCATTTGGTCCTTCTTTCTCCCTAGCCAATGACAGGTGTCTAATTTTTCCTTACTCTGTTAAACCTAGGGTGAGTCAAGTTAAATTTCCTAAAAAGGAGCACAAGATGGGTGTAACACCTATATTTATTTTTTAGGAGTATTTCTATTAATGAATTATTTACTTTAATTTTATGAGTTTTATTATATTATACAATGTGTACTTAACAGGAAAATAAAATATCAAGAAAATGAAATATTAAATTTTAATATATATTGAGTGTATAATAAACATCAACATTTTCAACAACTTTGTTTACAAAACCTAAAAAATAACTGCAATGAAGATACAAATAACACTCTACAACAAAAGCAGTCTTACTTTAATTAATGACACTTAAGGCAGACTTTACAAGTAAAAACATGTTCCATACACATGTATCACTTACAGTGATAGCACATTTATTTTACTTTGAAACTGTTTTTTTAAAGTAAGTCATCCCATTTCATTTAAAATGCAATAATTAGGAGAATATAATAAACGGTAATAGTTGTGTGTCCAAGACACCAGGCACTCCACTTCCAACTTGGAGAATTATTGTAGGCTGATCAGACCTCTAATCACCTGAACATCGGTATGGCAGCAGGATAACAAAAGACAAGATCTTTACTGCATAAATAGGGGGCTCAAGACTGTCAAAGCTCTTATCAGGCTAAGACGCTGTGTCCTGGATCTTGCCACTATTTATTGAACACACAGCTTCTTGAAGGGGTAAGAGGTGGTCCAGGGAACAGTGGCGTGGAAAGCACTGATGCGAGCAGGGTCCTAGCAACAAGAGAATGAGACATTGTAAGAGGAACAGCTCATAAATTAATGGGAAGTTAGTTCTTTCCCATAGATTAATTTCTGCCTCTATAGAAGTTTTATGTATGAGTAATGCTGCCCTTATTGTCTTGCCATCCAAGGTGTCCAAGCGTAAGGGATCACTGAGACCTCTGCTGTAACGAGTGGTGTGGGGAGTTGTTCCTTTCCCACGCACCAACCGCTGGCTCTTCAGGCAAGCTGTTGTGGGCCAAAAGGCAGACTCAGACTTTTAATACGAGAAGCCAGTTTGTAAATTTTTAGCTTGCTTAGGGTGGTCTCTGTTGGAGAATTATCATCCCCATTCACGGTTCCTCTCTTTTCTGTCTTCCAGGCTCTGTGTGGAAGCACTTTGTAAATTGTAAAATGCTCTCCTGTGATAGGTTTTTTCACACGGTAAAGTAACAAGCTTCTCAAACTAACATGTGGGCTCTTGGGGTCATGAAGTCACCAAACAGATCTGGGATGTATTTTCTTTGGGTATTTAAAATATTTTTTAAGGAAACATCACAAAGTAAAAAGTAGACTTTATATTTATATGATAAAAGCATAATTATAGAGAAATCACTGTTTTGATATTATCATACATAAAATATGATAGTGATATACTTGCTGCACTTAGTCTTTGAGACTTTTGCATGTAGTTTATAGATTAAGTGAAAGGGGTTGTCTATTCATGTTAAGGAGTCTTCAAATAAAAAATTACATATATTCCCATCTACTTGCCTTTTAAAAATATTTCATTAAATTTTTATAGTTTTCTCCATAAAGGTCTTACATATCTTGTGCTAGATATTCACAACTACTTTGTGTTATATTTGACATTGTGATTTTTCCAACTTGTGTACTTATGAAATAAATACAATTTTCATATGTTACTTTATATTTAGAAACACTAACAAATTATTTATGATATTTTGTGTGTTATTCTGAACATTGTATTTGGACACTCAAACTTTCA